TATATAAAAGGATTATAATTTATATATAAACATATAATTTATACGAAATATGTTTATATCCTTTTCTCTTTTGTAAAATTACTTTTTAATACAAGAAAAAAAAAATAATAATAAGAAAAACATAAAACTAATTAATAGATTAATTTTTGCATTGTTTTTCACATAAATAGTCAAGTTTGGAGAAATGAGAAAAAATTGCTCATGTATAAATTATAAACAAATCTCACACACACAGTATACAAGCAATTTTTTCTCATTTCTTTAAATTTGACTTTTTGTAAAAGAAAAAACTCTTATTTTATTTAATTCTTTTATAGACATTATTTGGAAAAAATGTCAGGTCGAATCTGGTGCTATATATAAATTGATACAAAAAGTTTGTTTTTTCTATTCAGTTCCAATTTGAGGTAAGGTTTAGAAATTGAATAATATTTTTCTAGAAAGCTTTTTGGAAGAATAGATGGTTTTGATCCTGTAAGCGCGCGCATTGATGAGACTGCAGGACAGTTCGTCCAATTGTCGTGAGCACGATTGCCCTGAGCATTTTTGCGGGAAGTCGGGCGTTCTGCAACAAGAAGAAAAAACTCGGACGGCCGTCCGAGCAGGTGAAGCAGCCGGAGAACGAGAGGGAGAGACCAAGTGGAAGCAAGTTCCAGGCAGAGAATCGCCCTTCGAAAATTGCCGCAATCGCTTTCTCGAGCGCATAGAAGTTTTAGTACAGAAGTGACTTATGAACGAGACACCATAACCATAATCGTCTAGTTTGCATATGATTAATCCTGTGACATAAAGGGTGAATCGTTATATGTCTGTTTAGTATCGTTTGAGATTAATATCTTATCGCTTTCCTGCTAAATCTCCTTGTTGTCTCGCTTTTAAATTGTCCAATTAATCATAATTGCAATATTATACATTATTTTTTGCCTATTCTGCACATTTTTCTGTACATGAATATTGAGTATTGTATAGCCAACAACATGACTCAATACGACGCTTTCTATATAAGATATTCAAAATGTAAAGAATAAACTAAAGTTTCACTTCTGATCCTTAAGCGTTACAGCTCCTTTCTTTTTTTTCCAACAAAAACTGATTTGATGATTATTTAGTTCATTCATTGGAAAAACGTGATCCATAATAATCCATAAACGTGATTTATAAATGAGTACCACAAACTATGGAATGTGATATATATTTTTTATCGCGATAAGGCTTCTTTTTCTTGCGTTTTCTTAAGTTCTAAGTTGCAAGAAAAAAAATCATTTATATTAGATGGAAAGAACAATTATGTTAAACGAATTAGAAATTTAACTAAATATAAACCTGAAAATAATTATGTAGAATGCTCAAACTGGTTACTATAAAGTTAATATTTTTTTGCATTTTTGTATTTTTGTATTTTTATTTTTTGTTCAATTTTTTATTCATATAACTACTCTTTGTACTTTGTGATTTATTTATTTTAGCTGAAAAAGACTTGAAAGTGTTACGCTTTAAAATAAAATTTATGTTCATTTTTATTTCATACTTTTTAGTTGCTCGTCTTGACCTTCTTTTTTTTCTTTGAGACAATTTAGATGTACAAACATTAAATAAGTATGCGCTATGTGTGTATATATATATATATACATATGGATGTACATGGAATGATGCATGACGCACGTTGCCGTCATCACGAGATCAGACGCGTATAATTATAAATGTCTCGCACGATATCGAGTGATAAGCGCTCAAGTCATGGCTCTCTATATCATGGCCAACCGAACAACGGAAGTAAATTCGACCATTACAGAAAAGTACAGGGCAGCGTCGACGCATTCGGATGCGTATACTTGCACATGCGGCATCGTATGTTCTTGTATGCTCCATCATGGACAGGTGAACACCGTGACCACCGTGAACCAGTGCCCGTAATGATCATTACTGTTTTGTGATTGCTTCTTGAGATTTTTCCACTTTTAATGTCCATGAGAAACAGCTGTTTGGCTATTATTGCTGATTATTACGCGCTTTGCTCCCTGATTATTCCGTGATTACTTCTCAACGTGATATTGTAACGCAGCATGCGAAATTGACATGCTTATTATCCATCGATACAAGGAATATTTTTTATAATAAGGAATATTCACAAGGTATAAGAGTTGAAAAGCGAGTCTACTCGCCGAGAAATCTGCTCCACAAATCTTTTGTAACGCTTAGATATTAATATGTAAACCGCGATGCTATCCTCCAGAGCGTAAATCGTTCCTCCTGCTCTCGTTTCGACGCAGCCGTTGGATCTCTGAGGAAATGCCGACTTCCTCCTCGTTTAAACAAGGGAACGTCAATATCCGTGGGGGATTTCGAGTTTCGAGTCCCTCCCGCTCTCCATCGGACTCTCGCTTCCGGTCCTGGTCAAGCAGACCGGAACAAGCGGGGTCCTCGGGTACACCGTGACGTCGGAGCATCGTCAAAAATTAGGGAGAAACCGATCTGCAGGGGTTCCACGCCAGGATGTAGCTAATGCCACAACTTTAACTTATACCGAAGACAATTACTGGCTCGATCATTTTTCACGGTTTTATGATCAATCTAATGGACGGCGTGTTCACGATTTTTAGAAATTCTGGACGGTTAGATTGTATGTTATCGTTGCAATCGAGCCGTTGATTTCATTATTTTAATTTAATCCTTTTCAATACGTAAAAAAACTGATAGAAGTATTATAAAAAAAATAAAACTCATATGTTATATTATTTTTTGAAGTTAATATTAATTTAATAACAGTGTTTATAAGATTTATAGATTTATTTTTAAACAGAAACTTATGTTTTGTTTTTAAAACTGGAAAATAACGCTATTTATTATTATTATTAATTATCGTTATAATTATTTTTTTTCAATAATATATGAAATAATAATGTTATTCCCTTATTTGTGATGTTGCGATGAATTCAAAAATAGTCAATTGAAATATTTTTATATTCTAACAGCAAAACAATATAAAATATAAAATATTATTTTTTATAGCTACTTTTACAAACCTTTGAAAGTGCAATTTCATCAAAAACCTCCTCAATAAAAAAGCGTAATAAAATATGTGTATTTAATATAACATTATAGTATTAATACTGATATATTAATAAAAATCTTTATTTTTAAGAAATTAAAAATAACATACAACTTTTATTTTTATTATTCCTTTGTATGAACAGCAATTTATATATTCTTAAACTGTCATACATATTTCTTCTTGCGTTCTTGTCATAATACACCATACGTGCTATTATCATTTGCAGGCACGATCATTACCCCGCAATGGAGGAAAGCGAAGTCGGATGAAAAGATGATCGACAGCTGACATTGTCGTCAAGGAGGAAGAAAAAGAGGCGAGAAACATCGAATAAAATGAAATGAAGAAACCGCAAGGAATAAGGTAAGAAAATTCGAAACTCTACCCTTTGGCCATCGGTGTGAGCACCTGGCAGCATATGTGCCAAATATAAAAGGACGAACATCTCCGCGGCCCTGTCTCTATCTCTCTTTCTCTCTCTCTCTCTTTGCAAATTCTCTTCGTGCCTCCGCTTGGAAGACCCTGAAAATTCTGCGGAATCACCGATGCGTCTCGCGCGGCTTTCGTTCAGCGTCGAAATTAACGGGAGCGCACCGCGTGTCGGTCAGCTGTTAGCCGTGATTGTTGCCAGCCGCGTATTAACTCTCTACGTCAGCTAATGTAGTACATGAACACGAAACGATTTATTATAAATCTTACATTAAAATTCTCATCTGTATTTTACAAGTATTTTACAAGTATTAAGTCGATGGAATCAACTTGTAAAATATACTGAAAATTTAAATTAATAATCTTAAATAAATAATATATATATCTATATATATATATATATTATTACTATAATAATAATATTAAATATAATTCATTTTTCTTTAATGAATTATTAAAAATTTTAATCCAATCACACATGATGCATTTTTCCTGCTTAATTGCTTACATTTTAAATTACTAGAATAATTGCATCACAAAGAATGCAGAATTTCTAAAATTTTATTAAAATGTAGATGTAAGCAATCCGGCAGGAAAAAGTGTATCATGTGTACATCATAAGTTTTATTCAAGGAAAAGCTATAAGATTTTAAAAATAGATTTCTGTCCTCTCTAAAAGTTATACTAAGGTTATCAAATCCATCACTATGGTGAAATTTTACTACGCTAAATACTATAGGTTTATTTACGAAGAGTAATCATGTAGGAAGCGTAAGGTAAGATGAGGGATAGAAGCTGGACAATGGGTCTCGTGTTGAGCAACCACCTGTACATACTCGCAGGTATCCGAAAGCGTCTCTGAGGAAACAATGCTGCCTTTTCCACGTTTGCCTGTATCACGAAAATAAACGGAAGCAGTCGCGTGGCTAGCATAGCTGCTTTTACGCGGAAATTTGATACATTCGGTCAACGTTTCATCATCTGCTCGCCGCAAGATATGTCCGTGCGCGAGTTAATCTTTTTAATCTTTATACGCTATAGAACTGTGTATCTCAATAAAAATAAAATAATATCGTATTATATATAAATTCTCTTTTTAAGATCTGAGAAAACGCGATAGTGGAGCGGTTTGACATTCTTTACGGAAATGAGACGACGTCTCTACATCGTAGCGTTTGTCATATTGTACCAGGAATAAATGGCGAATGGGATATACGCAAACAGCTGCTGTTGGATTGCAGATGCTCTAAAAATTTTGAAATTCCAACCACGTCGTCGACACTGGTCGCGATTGGATGCACACGAGGCTGCACTCTTCACATACAAGAGATCGTCTTTTTCGAACACTTTGGAATGTCATTTCTTTGATAAAAGAAAACTTATATAATTGAATGCATTAATAACGCTTTATTAGCCTTTCATTATATTCATTATATTCACTCAGGATTTCTTTGCCTTATAAATTCGATAAATGCATAAATGTTCATTTATACACATTATTACATTTACAACAAATTATTTCAAAATTTAAAAAACATTGCATTTATCTTAATTAAAGAATATTATCAATTCTTTATAAATCCTTTACAGGTTATTGCGTTGCTAGTAGCATTATTATTAAATTGATTATGAATTAAATTATATAATTATTGTTTTAATTTATGATTATGTTTTAAGTTCGACAAACCAA